AAAAAAAAAAAAAAAAGGAAAGAAAGAAAGTATTAGGCATCCTTACAGAATAGTGTCTGTCTGTAGTGGGTCTGGAAACTCCGGGCCTGGACACCACCCCATAGATTTTTCACTAAAGGCTGGCAGTCTACCACTTGAGCCACAGCTCTACCTCTGACTTTTTTGTGGATGACTGAAATTAAAGAGTCTCTCAGATTTGTCTGCCTGTGTTGGCTTTGAACCTTGATCCTGAGATTTCAGCCTCCTGATTATTTATCTCCTACTAAAAGCCAACATTATTTCCTCTTCCCTTAAATCTAAGGTAGCCTTGTTACTTGTCTTGATGGACAAAATGAGATTAGTAATGTTTCTGGAATGTTCTAGATCTAGATTTATGTCTTAAGTAGCCTGACAATTCCTGTTCTCTTCCTTGCAGCCCTTAAAGGTCTAGCCTTTGTTAAGCGATGTCATTGAAAAAAATTGTTCAATAGCTGTCCTAGTTAAACCAAATGATGCCTCTTGTACATGAAGATGGCTATATTAGACATTCTTTTCTAGAAGGTGGAAGAGGAGCCTAGACCTGTGGTTTGTTGCCACTGCTAGGTAACAAGTAACATTTACCTAGAGGCACTCCTGATCACTTCCCCAAATAAGCAGTGGCCTTATCTTCTTGGTTTCCTAAAAGGTTACAGTTTAAAAATACTTTGCCCAGCCAGCCCACCTGGTGGCTTACACTTGTAATCCTAGCTACTTACTGAGGAGACTGAGACCTGAAGATCATAGTTCAAAGCCAGCTCAGGCAGAAAAGCCAGCTCAGGCAGAAAAGTCCACGAAACTCATCTCCAATTAACCACTCAAAAATCCAGGAGTGGAAGTGTGGCTCAAGTAGTAGAGCACTAACCTTGAGCAAAAAAAGCTAAGGGACAATGCAAAGACCGAGTTCAAATTCCAATGCAGGCACACACACACATACACACACACACACACACACACACACACTTTTACAGTACTCAAACAGTAACAGTTATCAGTGAGATGTTCATTCTGACAGGATCTTGTTTCATTCCTTATGGGTGCAATTAGCAGCAGTAGCTCCTGCACAGTGTTTTAAGGT